GCGCTGGAGCTTGTTTGGATGCCGAGTTGAAATATCCGGACACACACACATACACACACACACACAGAGTGGTCGTTGCAATGTGCGTTTTCGCATTTGCATATATGCAAAAACGCACAATGAGCAATAATAAATTAAAATTTAATTAAGATTTTACCAGCCGTGATTTGACGTGTGTCGCTCGGAGATGACCTCCTCCTCTGTCCCTGAGTTGTTTGTCGTCATGTTTATGTATGGCTAACATGATGCAATAAGGGCTAATCTGGATCCGAGATCCCTTCGATTATCAGTAGTAAATTTCAGATCTAACCTGACTGTGATGCCCAGTGCACCAGAAGCTTAAGCTTGTGTTTGCACAGATGCAATTCCATTTTTCAATAAACGCATATAATTCCCAAAATCCAGACGTCCACTCATCCATTTTCACAGCGTTTAAGCTTTTTTTTTTGTTGCAATAAGTGTAAAGCTAAAACTGCTATGTTCGCCTGTGCAGTTATTATTCCACTTCGCACCAAAAAACTCTTCTTTACAATCCCTTCTAGTATCTCAAATTTTCGAGGAGAAAGCTAAACGCAGCTGTTAATCTCAAAAAATATCTCAAACATTTCTGAATTTTTTTGACAGCAGCATTGATTTTTTTTCTGAGTCTACGATAGAGATTCTCCCGAATTCCGTTTCATGGCTAAAGCCAGGCTGCAAAATTGTGAAAAATACAGCGGAACAAAAAATGTACTTTGATCAGCCGAATTGCTCACTTTTACCAGATACACATCTGTTTTTATTGAAATGTGAACATTTCAGGACGAATTTATCTTCACGATGGATGAGTTGGCCAGATGTATACCATCGCAATCACTTTCAAATGGTACCAGTAGTAACAGTACCAGTGATCAGCAAACTATCCAGAATGGTTTCGCAATCGACCATGCAGCTCCACTGGACGGATCATGCTTCGACAACGTGGCCGCCAAAAGGGTATCCAAAGAATTTCAACATTCGCAAATTTTGGGTTCCAAAGCCAGACAGTGGCAAGAGAGAGGCTAGCTTAACGCATTTTCATGTCCCGGAGCTAGTAAGACGTATCCTTACATATGTGCTGCCTTCATTTCAGCGTATAGTCATTACGTGAGTGTCTCCGTTTACCATTACCAGGCGCTTGGAACATTAATAATAATAATAATAATAATAATAATAATAATAATAATAATAATAATAATAATAATAAT